TATGTGTGTATGTAACACACATGTATACATACACATGTGACATTTCAGGAAATATCAATATCAGAGAAGAATCTGGGGTGGGGGGTGCTTCACACTATTGACCCCATCCAGAGCTAAAGGAGAGAACTCATGGTTCCAACACATTTCTCTCTGATGAAAGAGTTGGCTGTCACTCTTCATGTCCCTTGTCCTACTAGCTTTCGTGCTGGGCTGTGAGACAGAGACTGACATTTTTCATTAGTGAAGGCCAGTCACTCTCTCTCCAGAAAGATTAGTTCTGCCCACCCACCCCCTGACTGTCTTCAAGCCAAATATGATTCAGTCTTCTTGGCTCCTAACAGCTGGGCTGATCCTGTGACACACAGATCAGATCATGACTATGTCTTTTTGAAGAACTCTTTAAAGAGGCTTCTATTCCCTTTAGCTAATCCAAGAAATGCCTGGAATTCTAGCTTTTCTGTGATAAAACAACAGCTTAGTAATTTATTTATTCTTGATTACTATTCAGCTGAACAATTAAGCCATTAAATGTACCATCAATGTATGAGTGGACAAGATTTATTACTACATGGATTCACATTTACATTCTGATTTTACTCTTCCTTCCTCCCTGCAGCCCACACATGCACTCAAGGGTGGCTTTGCTGGCACAGCTGTTGGTTTCTTTCTGATACAGCAAGATAAGAAAGGAGAGAGAGAAAGAGAGAGAGAGAGACTGACCAAAGCTGAGATAGGAAAAGAAAAAGTAGGGATTGCTCAGAGGTCAGGAGCTCAAGACCAGCTTGGCCAACACAGTGAAACCTCATCTCTACTAAAAATACAGAAATTAGCTGGGTATGGTGACAGGCACCTGTAATCCCAGCTACTCAGAAAGCTGAGGGAGGAGAATCGCTTGAACCTAGTAAGCAGAGGTTGCAGTGAGCTGAGATGGCATCACTGCATTCCAGCCTGGGTAACAGCGAGACTCTGTCTCAGATAGATAGATAGATAGATAGATAGATAGACAGACAGACGTAGCTGGGCATGTTGGGGGAGGAGAGAGAAGGAGGTGTACAGAATTGCAGAGTGATTAGAGAGAGTTTGGGGATTTAAATAAGAAAGAACTAGCTGGGCATGGCGGGGGAGGAGAGAGAAGGAGATGTATAGCATTGCAGAGGGATTAGAGAGTTTGGGGATTTGGCATACAAGATGCTCTGGGACAGTTGGGAGGTGGCAGAGATGTAAGAGTGCAGAAGGGGATGTGAGAAGTGTTTCTAGCTTATTCATCAGTCTCTTGAAAGTTCCTACAGAGATACAAATAAAGAATAGTTTTCTTTTTAATATTTATTTTTTTTTCGAGATGAAGTCTTGCTCTGTTGCCCAGGCTGGCATGCAATGGCACCATCTCAGCTCACTGCAACCTCTGCCTCCCAGGTTCAAGCAATTCTCGTGCCTCAGCCTCCCAAGTAGCTGGGACTACAGGCACCTGCCACCACACCTGGCTAGTTTTTGCATTTTTAGTAGAGATGGGGTCTCACCATATTGGCCATGCTGTTCTCAAACTCCTGACCTCAAGTGATCCTCCCACCTGGGCCTCCCAAAGTGCTGGGATTACAGGCATGAGCCACTGAGCCTGGCCTTAATATTTATTTTCTAGTTACTTTTTTGTTGCCAGACTATGCTTCTTTATAAGAACTTCACTGCAGAGACAGAACTAGGAGTTGTCCCAGAATTTTTTAGGCTTACCCATATAACTGATATTCAGACTTTGGAGTGCATGTGCCATGGGTTTCTGTAGACAATTTGTAAAATATATATCTAGAGAGAGGGATTATTGTTTCTTACCCCATGACCAACTTCTCATTTTTGAGACTTCCTTTTTCTCCCCTCACTCAAAGGAATGGAATTTCTGCCAATGATGCCTTTTCATTATATAAACATCTGTTAACTACCTGCTGTGTAATGAGCAAACAGGGACCTAACCTTAAGGGACCCAGATGCTAATGGGTGAGAGGCACATCTAACAAATCATGAAAATAATACCCTTAGCACTGAAAGGAAGTAGAGGCAAGGCACCAGGTGCGCTCACAGAAAAGGAAGCACCCACTTAGAGATGGTCAGGGAAGGCTTCTGAGAAAAGCTGAGTCCTAAAGGGTAAGGGGAGCTTACTAGCAGGCAAAATATAAGACGGGATAGGGCATTTCTGGCAACAGAAATAACATGTGCCAAGATGCAGGGAGAAAAGAGCACAGCCCCATCAGAAACCTGCTGTGAAAGTGGTAGGATGTAAGGCTGCAAGAACGACGGGCACTGAGATGAGAATGTAGGCAGGTGACAGCACAGAAGGTTTTGTGTACTATACAAAGGAATTAAGGCGTGTATCCTGTAAGCAAACCAGAGGGGAGACACTGAAGAATTACAGTAGAAAAGTGACTTCATCAGCTCTTCATTTCAGGAAGTACTTCTGGTGGGGATGGCTTCAAAGAGAGACTGGAGGTAGGAGAACAAAGTAGGAAGTATTGCAATTGTACAGAAAAAAACAAAGCATCTGTCAAATAAGACAGTGGGAAGAGGGTGAGAGAGGAGGAGTCTGGGCAAGGAGATAGTTTGGTGAGAATGAAAGGATGAGGAACTTTAAATGATTGGAATAACAAAGATAAAAGGTCTTGCGATTATTCTTATATTCCTGATGTGGGCAACTGGTTTGTGTTCCTCATTAAATGAAATGGAGAATATAGAAAGAGGAACAGGCTTTGGGTGAAGGTAAAGTACATAATTCGGGTATTATTAAACAGAAGAACTCCAAGGAACATCCAGTTAGAAAGCTCAATAACATAGAAGAGACATCAGGCCAAAATTCTGTCCTCTTCATTACCCAACCTCCTCTACCAGTAGGTGTAAGAAATACAAAGTATTCATGCCTGCAAATACGGCCCTGCATGAATGTTAGAGTATTTTACAGACTTTTGTTTTATGCAGTGATAAAATGTACTGGGATAGGCTCATGGTTAGCAATTGATGCATAAACTATTAATGGTGAGATGTCATTTTCCTAAGAAATGAACACTTGGCAGACTTGGTATGAATACTTACCATGCTTGTGTTAAGTGCTGTAACCTGGATTAATCTATCCTGGCCAAGGTACACCCCACACTTTACTTTTCTCCCTGAAAAAGAGGCTATTAGGACCAGTTGAAAGCAATGAAGTACTAATGAGAGAGAGAGAACGACCTTAAAATCTAGTTTCTAGCTTTGAATAGAGTTTTGTTCGCTCCTTCCAACATTGGTGATTAACTACTGTGAGTTTTATAAGAGCCAGAGATGGAAGAACTGATTAGAAGGCAGCAGGTGAAATTCCTAGAGATTTCATTGTTTGAAAGAGGTTTTCCTATATAGGCTTAAATATAAATACCAACCATTCTCTGATGGTTGAGAGAGAGAGTGAGTTAGAAACAAAACAAAAAGATTTACCGTACTTTAGAGTTAGAACCTTCTGGTCTAAAATTAACCAGAGTCTTGTTTCCAACCATTAGTAACATGCTTCTCATTTTTCTGAGATTGGCATCATGCATATTTAAATTTACATTTAAAAGCTCCTGATAACCTTTGGCACCAGGGTTCCTGGTTGGGAGGTAGGTCACTCACATGTTGGTGAATTCATGTCCAGTTCTCTCTCACTACTGCAATTCTATTTGCTGGTGGTTTGAAGGTAGTTCCTCATTTCCAACTTAAATCAATCCATTTTGTAATTTTCAGGTGTGAGTGAGTTGGCATCAGGGTCCTTTCTGATGAAAGATTTCCTTGAAAAAAATAAGCACACTGTTCGTGGAACATCAAATCAAAACAAAGGGTGTTTTGGGACTGTCTCAGAACAGTTCATAGAAATTAAATTCTGCCCCTTCTGGGTTAATGTGCTACAGTCCTCATGGTGTGTTTGGAAGGCTCACCTCGTGGATTACTCTGATCAGTCCTAGATTTCTAATATTTCCTGTTAGTTTACTTGCTGGAGGATTAAGGCAAGACTGGATTAAAAAGGAGGAGTTGGGGAATTAACTGTTGCCTGGCGAGATTAGCTTTCCAGGCACTGATTCCTGAGAAGAGGTTTTTTTTTTTGTTTTTTTTTTGTTTGTTTGTTTTAACCTCCACAGTGTTGCCTGGACACTGGAACAGAATTCCCCTTCCCCCATCTCATGTTTAATCTGTAGCTTCCCTAAAGTACCTTGTGTTAGTACTGGGAGGAGAATGAGTCACACATTGAATAAATTGTTATTAAAGCATCCGGGCTCAGTTGTGAACATGCTAATAGTGAGGAATCAGAAAACCAAGTACTGGTACTGGTTTGGCTGCTGACTGCCGAAATCACTTGCTGAATCTGAGCTGCAACGTCCTCTAAAAATAATAAGAGCGAATATGTGCTGAATATTTCCTATGTTCCCAGAGCTATTATTAGCATTTTGTATACCATCTCATTCAATCCTCAGATTTCCACTGTAGAGTACAACTACGTTTTGCAGATGAGGAAACTGAGGCACATGGCTGTTAAATAATTTGCCCAGGTTCATGCAGTCAGTAATGGCAGCTTGGATTGAAATTGTGGCAGACAGACAGCTTGCAGGCTCTACTTTGTGTGTTCCACAATATCACCTCCTAAAATGAAGGAAAGGGACTGGAGGATCACGGACTGGAGGATCACGAGAGTCCTTTTAGCCCTTCTAGTGTGTGTGGGATGGGGAGAGGCCCATTTAGTTTCTCTGTTGGGAATGCGCAGCACTCAGCGCTCCCCCATTCCTTCCGATCTATGCGAATCTTTTGGGAGTACATCTTCACTATTAGGCCTATAGGTAGCACCGTCAAACTTGGTTTAGTTCCCGTGCCCCATAAGAATACTTATCAGGGCCATTCTTTTCTCAGCATGTGGGTTAAGTAAGATCTCAGTGGTAGTGGGACCTTGGAGAAATGAAACATCTGACATGTTGGCCACAGAGAAAAATGCTTCAGTGAGAAGCTGCAAGCTCCCAGTTAGTTGGCTTGATGGGGACCACAGTGAATGAGGAGGAAGAGTGCAGGCTGGGGCAGGATCTGGTGTGGGGGGCGGGGGGTCGGTGCATAACCTGGCCAGGGGCTGTTAACCCCCTCCCCCCAAAAAACAGCAGCAGCAACAACAACAGCGAGAACAACAATAGCAACAAGCCAAATTAAGGCTAAAAAAGCAGGCGGTGTGCCAGGAAGGGGCCCAGCTGAGCAGTGTGTGGAAGCTTTTGTGGAGGTGATGGTGGGGGATGAGAAAGGGGAAGGAAGGAACAGTCAGCACCACAGGGACTTGAACAAAGGGAGAAAGGGGATTATAGTCAAATCACTGTCCGCAGCAGGAGCAGACAAAACCACCAGAGTAAGCCCTGAAATGGAAATGAGAGGGAAAAGAAGCAAGCCGCTAACAGCTACCAAGAAGAGGAGGAAGTGGGAGATGCGCTGCTTCCTGTAGAAAGAACGTTGATTGAAGACAAAGCTGGGTGGGGACTAGTCCCTGGGCTGCAGCCGCCGCCGCTACACATACTCACAACGCTGCCGCCGCGCTCCGTGGGCAACTCCTACTACTGCTGGGCTGGGCTGGGCTGGGCTGCGCCGGAGCTCCCCTGCACAGATCAGCTCCGGAGACGGGAAAAACCACGCTCCTCTGACCAAGCCTCGGGAGCTAAGGTAAAGGAAACGTTTTCCATGTTGCTCGTTTTTAATTGAGAAAAAAAGACCATCGCCTGTGGTTTAAAGGTACGATTTCTAAGGGATGATAGAGACATCGCTTCAGGACTAGGGAAAATGATTAGATTCTTTTGGAAGGGTCTTTGAGAATGACCACGTTTATGACACATTTGCTTAAAAAAAAAACCCTCATCATCAGTGCGTAGCTTTGGTGACTCGACAGGGCAACATACTAAATACAAGAAGCTGTTTGTATAGTTCTCTTGGAAGAAAACCAGGGCTGAGTCGAAATCCATCTGGGGCTGGGAAGCTGAGGTCTGGTCATCAGAGCCTTGCAGTCCCCTTGTTTTAGGAGTGTAAGAGGTGTAAAATATTAATTGCATTCTCTTTCTTACACATTGCACTGATATCTTCTGATTTGCAAAAATAATGGCTGTGATTTGGCTTTTGGGGGAGTTAAATTCTTTTATACTTAGATTTTGCCAACAAAGGCTTGAATTGCGTATGTGAGGGGCAGTATTTACCATTAAAAAAACAGTCTTCCTCCCTTAGCTCTGTGCAGCTGCTTTCAGGATAACCTCAGACACAGCTATGATTTGCCGGGTGTAGATCTTCTCCTAAAGTTGCATCCTTGTTCAAAGGAGCGTGGAGGGTTTAAGGCCACTAACTTGTCCAGAATCAAGATGTGTGGATTTCATGCTTATGTGCATTTTATTCACCTCCAGGTCAAGGTGGTTGTTACCCTCGGAGAGGGACAAAATAAAAAAGTGCAGCAGGGTTGTTTCCTTATGTGAATATACTGTAGATAGACTGAAGTAGTAAAGTGAGAACGTGATTTTTATTCTTTGATTTTCTTGAGCAAAGGATGCTCTTAAATAGAGCCTGGGACAATGACTTGTTCATATTTATGAACGATATATAAACGTACACCAAATAGGTCTAGCTGATAAGAACTGAGATTGTGAGCTGCCTCTGACAGGATATGTAGGAGAGTTTAATACCCTAGTGTAGCATGATTTAAAGAATTAAGCTTTTTCATTTTCAGCAGAAAGTACAGTTAAGCAGTAAGTGGTCATTGATAAAACGTTTTTTTTTTCTAGAGTTTCTATAATGAAAGGAGATAATTTTTCAGAAGAAAGAGAAAAAACTGCTTATAGTGGAGTAAAAATAACAAAAAAAATCAATATTTTGACACTCATAAATTCTTAAAACATACGTTCTTGAATACCACATATGCCAGTTGGGAGTGTATATAGGTATATGCCTCCTCATTTATCATCATTCTCACTTGTGAAGGGCTATAGGGCTGTTTTTAATGCTGTCTTTATGAAATCGATACGGCTTTTCAAAATCTATGGAGTAGCAGCACATTTTGAGAGATGGGAAGCTTGTATAGCTACTAAAGGAAAAAAAAAATGTCTGTTTCTCAGAGGTTTCTTGTTCATTAAAGTAAACCTGCACCATGCCTAGGAGACAAAGTACTGCTGGTATTGAAACCATGGAGCTCCTTGAAGGATTCACTGAATTTAATCAAAATTGTGGGCAAAACAAGTCACAACACGGATTTTGCAGTTCTGCTTCCTATTTGCATCCTAAAGGGAAATATGTAAAGATCATGTTCTTAGAGAGGAGACGTAGGGTAGGTAGATCTTGGACCCAGAATGCCCCAATGGAGTTCTAGAATCAAGCTGTGCATCATTAAATGAAGTAAAAAGTTGGGAGCCTGAGTTGCCTGGACGAGGACAGGCTTACCCTTTGGTACTTACTCCTCTGCAGGCTGTATTCACTAGATAATGCCAACACCCTGCTTTGTCTGGGGAGACACAGACAACCTGCGTTACTCTTCTGTGTGTGGTTCACACATGAGTAAAAAAATGAAACCTGTCCAATGGGCATAGTAGAGTCAAGAGAGCCCTGCTGTCTTTCTGAAAACAACTAAGAGATGCCTATTGTCTGCATAGCACAAAACATTTTCTTAATTGTTAAATTCCAGCTTGAAGCAGAACATTAGTGAGTAATAGCAGATCAGTAGCTATGATGGTAGAATGTTTAGGAAAAAGATGAATATGCTTCTACACTGTAAAATGAAACTATTTCCGCTTATTCTGGCCATATGGAACATTGAAAGACACAGTGATTTTGCTTGGGGTATTCACTGGCTTTTGAGGAGTAGACCAACACTGAAATTTTAATTGAACTTTTTTTTTTCTGCCATATGGCCAATGGCTGAATGGAAACATGACTCCATTATTTCGTGGCCAGCCCTGGGCCTCATATGGTGGGCATGTAGTGAATGTGTTTGGTTGACTGACTTTGTTTAGCTTGCTTCAGAAAGCAGGCCCAACTTTTAAGTCTAAAAGCTGTATAGTCAAAGTAGAAAGGCTGTTCATAAAAGACTTCTGTGGATAGGAGGAAAGAACACTGTGGAATGGAAAGAACACAGGCTTTGGAGCCAGGCAGATCTGTCTTTTGATCTTATCACTGGTTCTTACTACTTGATCTGGTGCATTAACTTAGGAAACTAAGTTTCCTCATTGTAAAGAAGGATTAGTAGTACATAATTAAAGTGTTGTTTTTTTTTTTTTGCTTTGTTTTTACTTTTGTGTTCGGATAAGTGAGCGCTTTCTACATAGAAGGTACTCAAATGTTATTTTTTTCTTTCTTGGTGGCATAAAGAAAAGTTAGCATATTCTTGGCCTTTACCACTGCTTCACAGGTTTAGGGAGACTTGTTTTATAGTGATAAAATATACATAACATAACATTTCCCATTTTAACCATTTTTTAAGTATGCAGTTCTGTGGTAGCGATTATATTGCTGTGATGTTCTCATCACTGTCATCTATCTACAGAACTGTTTTTATCTTGCACAGCTGAAATTCTATACCCATTAATCAATACCTCCTCTTTCTCTCCTCTCAGCCCTTGGAAAGCCCCATTTTACTTTCTGTCTCTATAAATTTGGCCAAGTACCCCATATAAGTGGACTCATACATATTTGTCTTTTTGTGACTGGGGTAATACGCTTAGCATAATGTCTTTAAGATTCATCCATGTTGTAGCATGTGCTAGAATTTCCTTCCTTTTAAGGCTGGAATACTATTCCATTGAATGTATAGACTATACTTTGTTTATTCTCTTTTAATGGACACTTGGGCCACGTTTTGTGTATTGTAAATAATACTGCTATGAACACAGGTGTACAGATATCTGTTAGAGTCCCTGCTTTTACTTCTTTTGAAAACCCAGAAGTGAAATTGGTGGAACACAGTAATTACATATTTAATTTTTTGAGGAACTGCCGTACTGTTTTCCATAGCAGCTGTACCATTTTACATTCCCACCAGCAATGAACAAGGATTCCAATTTTTCCACATTCTCATCAAAATTTATTTTGTTTTTTATTTATGTTTTTGATAATAGCCTTTTTAAGAGGTATGAAGTGGTATCTCCTTGTGGTTTTGATTAGCATTTTTCTAATCATTAGTGGCGATGAGCATCTTTTCGTGTGCTTATTGGCCATTTGTGTATCTTCTTAGAAAAATGTCTATTCATATTCCTTGCTGATGTTTTTCCCCAGAAATACTGTGTTGAGAATCTTTGCCAGTTTTTAATCAGATTTTTGAGGAGATATTTTCAAATGGGATCTTTTAACATAATGTGTCATTAGATCATAATCATAATCTTTGTATTTAACTTCCTTTATACAGCCGTATTATCCCTGCCCAAGCAAAATACTCCTTTCGAAAGTAGCATTTAAAATAAAAGGAGTAAGAAAATATAGCTTCTGCTAGTTGGTAATGTAAGAACCTAATAGTGAAATTCAAACCTTCATTGCAGATAGTCACACCAATGATTCTACTGGTCAAATCTTAGACCAGGCTACCACCACTGTCTCCTCTCATTAGCAGAGAAAAATGCTCAATAGGTAGCACAGTCAGAAAAAGAGGAAAGAAACTGAAGTACTGAATTGCTCTCAGATCCTTTACAATGGGGGGCATTAACTTGTGGGGAGGGGCTACAGTAGTTAAACAATACAACAGGTTTCTGAGACAAGTTTCTACTATGAAGTATGATTCTAACCAAAATTTCACTTTTAAAAATAACGAATCCTCTGTTTCCTTTTCCAAGACAGATTTTACTCCTAATCCTGAAACTGGTGAGGCAGAGTATGGTGAGGCTGAGGAGAGTTGGGTGGAACCATTAGTGAGGACCCTACCGAATAGCAACAATATCTGAGCTTTATGGTGTGGGGGCAGACATTGACCTGGAACGGTTTGAAGAGCTCCTTAATGATTAATGTTAACTTTCTGTAATGCACTTTGTCCTCGTGCTGGGGGGCAGGGAGGGAGGTGGGGGCAAGTTTGCAAATAATGACCCCAGTTTTATTTAATTTGCAAATCTGTTCATTCTACAATTACTGGGAGAACCCAAGTGCCAGGCTTTACTAGATCTGAGTGGGAGAGGAGTTGCAGTGCTGTGTTAAGATTTAGTCTCCCACCCTCACCCCTAAGATGATGGCTATGTTAATTAACCTGATTTGATCATCACAATGTATACATGTATCAAAACATCACATTGTACCCCATAAATGTACACAATTATTATTTTTCAATTAAAAATAAACAAAAATTTTAAAAAGAACTTAGTCCCTGGTCTAGGACATGCTAGAATGGTAGAGCTAAAAATGATCTGGGGGTGAGCTAGCCTATATTGACCTCTCTATAAGGGATAATAAAATAGGCCTGGAGTTTAGAGTTGCATAGTTCATTAATTCCTTACCTCCCAATTAAAACTCCATTTCTCTTACCTCCATATTAGCCAAAGTCTTTTTACATTATCACATTTAAAATTGTAAGACCAAACTATTTTGTTTTTTATTTAAAAAGAGTAGACTGTTTACATTTAGTACCCTATGTAAATTTGGAGTTTCTCTGTACAGAGTTGTTCATGTGTAAAAGATGCCACTGTGGAACAGAGATTTAAATTTTCATGTAAGAGTATTAGACATATCTGTGGATATACGGTTCTTGAAAATTCTTATGTTAAAGAAAACAAGTTGTATTTAGT